CCCTCTTCCACAGCTACACTGGCCCTAAACCCCACCTCTTCCTCCGCTACATCGATGACTGTATCGTGCTCCCACGAGGAGCTTGAACAGTTCATCAACTTTACTGACACCTTTCACCCCAACCTCAAGTTCACCTCTAATACCTTCCTCTTCTTCCTGGACCTCTCCGTTTCCATCTCTGTTGACCACCTCAAAACCAACATCTATTTCAAGCCCACCGACTCCCACAGCTACCTAGACTACACCTCCTCTCACCCACCTTCCTGCAAGAATGCGATCCCCTACTCCCAATTCCTCCGCCTCGCCACATCTGCTCCCAAGATGGGGCGTTCCACTCCCGAACATCCCAGGTGTGCTCGTATTTCAAGGACTGCAACATCCCCCCTTCAGTGGTCGAAAACGCTCTTGACCGCATCTTTTGCATTTCCCACACCTCAGCCCTCACACCCCCTCCCCCCAACAAAAACAAAGACAGAATCCCCCTGTCCTCACATATCACCCCACTAACCTCCGTAAAAATATATCATTCTCCGCCACTTCTGCCACCTACAGTCCGACCCCACAAACAAGGATATATTTCCCTCCCCACCCCTATCTGCCTTCCGTAGGGACCGCTCTCTCCGTGACTCCCTTGTCCGCTTCACACTCCCCTCCAGCCCCACCACATCCGGCACTTTTCCCTGCAACTGCAGGAAGTGCTATATCTGCCCCCATACCTCCTCCCTCACCCCCATCCCAGGCCCCAAGAAGACTTTCCACATTAAACAGATGTTCAATGTGGTCTATTGTATCCGCTGCTCCCGATGTGGCCCCTTCTACATCGGGGAGACTGAGCTGAGGCTCGGAGACCGCTTTGTAGAGCACCTGCACTCTGTTCGCGACAAACAACAACACCTTCCAGTCGCGAACCACTTCAACTCCCCCTCCCACTCCCTGGACGACATGTCCATCCTGGGCCTCCTCCAGTGTCACAACGACGCCACCAGGAAACTGGAGGAACAGCACCTCTTATTCCGCCTTGGAACCTACAACCCAATGGTCTCATTGTGGACTTTACTAGCTTCAAGATCTTCCTACCCCTGACCTCATCCCGTGACCAACCCTTCCTCCCATCCCCGCCTTCTTGACCTGTCCATCTTCTCTCCCACCTATCTGCTCCTCCCACCTCACTGACCAATCCCCACCACTGCCTACCTGCACTCACCTATCACCATCCCACCTGCCTTCCCCAGCCCCACCCCTCCTCTCTATTTATTTCAGAGCTGCCTTCCCCTCCCCTATTTCTGAAGAAGGATCCCGACCCGAAACGTCAGCCTTCCTGCTTCTCTGATGCTGCCTGATCTGTTTTATTCCTCCAGCTCCGCACTGTGTTATCTCTGACTCCAGCATCTGCAGATCTTACTGTCTCCTGTGGATTACAACCCCTTGACAGCTTTATCTACTGAAAACCTATTCCAAGTATGGATGTTGGAATTCCTGATGGTTTAAACATGGCAATACATGTGATCCAAAGTGGGCCAATAAGAATCCACATTGACTGGAAAAAAAGGTTACGCAGATATAAGACTTTTAACAAGTTTTCAAGTTTTGATAGGATTAAGCAGGTGGAAGTAACTTTCTCAGAAACTAGTATTATCAAAACCAGGGATAGTAAGAACTGCAGATGCTGGAGTCTGAGATAACACAGTGTGGAGCTAGAAAAACACAGCAGGCCAGGCAGCATCAGAGGAGCAGGAAAGTTGACATTTTTTGTTCTGAAGAAGTGTCCCGACCCGAAACTGGCCTGCTGTGTTCCTCCAGCTCAGCACTGTGTTATCAAAACCAGGCCTTGGTTTGTACATTTTAGTCATACAGTCATACTGCACAGAAACACCTTTCGGTCCAACCAGTCCATGCCGAACTTAATCCCAAACTAAACTAGTCCCAACTGCCTGCTCCTGGCCCATATCCCTCCAAACCTTTCCTATTCATGTACTTATCCAAATGTCTTTTAAACATTGCAATTATTCGGAGTCATTGAGTTGTACAGCGCGGAAACAGACCCTTCGGCCCAACTCGCCCGTGCCGACCAGATATCCTAAATTAATCTAGTCCCATTTGCCAGCGTTTGGCCCAAATGCCTCTTAAACCCTTCCTATTCATGTACCCATCCAGATGCCTTTTAAATGTTGTAATTGTACCAGCCTCCACCACTTCCTCTGGCAGCTCATTCCATACACACACCACTCTCTGTGTGAAAATGTTGAACCAACCAGCGGAAGCAGTTAGCTGTGCAAGTTACTGCTGGGTCAGACAGCTGTGCAGGTTTATTTCTCTGTTTGGTTCAGTTCCTGATCTCTGCCTTTGTTTCTCTTCCTCCTTTTTAAAGTGCCATTTTTTTGATCTATTCTTCCTCCAAAATTCCAAAACAATGCAACAGCTTATAAAACTGCTCCTAGAATTCTAGGAACAATCCGCTCCAACACTGAAAACACCTCAAAAAAGGAGCAGATATTACAACCACAATATTTTTCCAACCTCCACCTTGCCCACATCCAACACTTCCTCTGGAAGTTCATTCCATATCCGAAACCGTGCCCCACCCCCACCCCCTGCCATGTAAAGAATTTGTCCCTCATGTCTGTTTTAAATCTCTCTCCTCTCACATTAAATATGTGCCCCCTACTCTTGGAATCATCCATCCTAGGGAAAAGACAGCTATGATTTATTCTATCTATGCCCCTCATTATTTTATAAACTTCTATAAGGTCACTGCTCAACCTTCTATGCTCCAGTGAAAACAGTCCCAGCCTATCCAGCCTTTCTTTATAACTCGAGCCTTCTATTCCCAGCAACATCCTGGTAAATCCCTTCTGAACCCTCTGCAGCTTGATAATACTCATTCTAAAGGTGTGCAACCAGAACTGGACACAGTATTCCAGAAGAGGCCTCACCAACATCCTGTAGAACCTCAACATGACTGAGTGTATAAGTTTTAGTTTTAGTTATTCAAGTTTAACAGTGAAAAGTGGGATAAATGCAACTGAAGCAGCTTCAAGTCTAAAAAACGAAAGAACTGCAGATGCTGGACATCAGAAACAAAAACAGAAACTGCTGAAAAATCTCAGCAGGCCTGGCGGCATCTGTGGAGAGAAAACAGAGTTTACATTAATGGTCTGGAGACCCTTCAATGGAAACTCCAGTTCTCTCTCACAGAGAGATAGCCTCCGAGAGCTAATGGACTTTTATGGGACAACTTATGAGAGAGAAAAAAGTCTACAGTGTAGTACGTTGATGGAAGATTCCGGAATTGCTTTTCTTTAAGCTTGGGAAAAGAGCCACAGCTGGGAAAAAGCAAGGTTTTGGTTTGGTGAATTCTGCAGGGTTCTTAGCTGAAGATGAAATGGAGAAGATTGTTTAGATTTGTTAAAACAAATTACCTCAAAGTAAAGAGTTCAATGATAGTTCCAGGCCAGAAGTATTTGATTTGAAAAAAAAATTGATAAAATCCTGAAGGGGTTATTTAAAGCTGAGAAAGTTTAAGCTCAGTAAGATGAAAGATCCAGGAGGAGGCTATCAGATTCTTCAGTCTAAGAGTTGAAGCCAGGGTAAAATTCAGCCAGTAGAGGTTAGAGGGGTGAATACTGTAAAAGGGTATTTTTGGGATCTCTAAATAAGTGCTTTAGGGATTATTGCATATCTCATTTCTTTAAATTTGTGTTATACATAAATAATTTGGTTCATTCTATTTTATCATTATTTCTTTTGTGTAATAAACTTCTGTTTTATTGTTAAAGACAAAAATGTAATATTGCACGCTTGTGTTTAATTGAGAGATTATCTTGTTAAAACTTAAAAAAGAAGCAAAGTATGATCTATCAAGCCAGGTTTCAGGCAGGGATCTGACTTGTCTGGTAATAACAACTTGTAACAATTCTTAATTTAGAACAATGGGATCCTCAGTTGTGTCTCAGAAATGAAAAGAAAACAATATTTATGAGTTGAGTAGAATTTATTAAGCAAGGTTTTAGCGCAAACAAGCAATGAAGTCAACATGGAGGTTTCTTATTGTTCAAGGTCCAGGATTCCTTGAATATTGGCAGCACAGACAATGTCTTCCTTTTCCTGTTTCTGAAGTGAATTTATGTTGAACTGCGTGCCAGGGGAGCTTCCCTATGAGGGCTAGGGTTACACTGTGCCAGCAGATGTTCTGACTTCCCGATTCTTATTCCTAATTCCGAAGGTTGGCCATTCCGAATTAGGAAATAGTTTAAATTAAGTCTCTCTTTCCAAATGGTTCAAGGTGAGGGTCATCTGGTGTCACCCCATCTCAGAGTCATTGAGGCCAAACAAATGTCCATCTCTTATTCCCTCTGCCCCAAGAATTAGCACAGATAAATGTCAAAGGAGTCTGCTCCTGGTAAACTCCATCAGTCAACATGGGGCAAACTGCAAATGGGGACAAGGCAGTTTGAGGGCGGATTCAGGAATGGGGTTTTCACACAGAGGCTCATAAGTTGTGAAAGGAAGCTGAGTAAACACAGTTAGCACACATGGGCAGTGTCAATCTCATTAAACAGCGGAATTGGCTGGAAGAGACTCAATGTCTCCACATCCTTTTGTCGAGCCACCCACTTCGCTATCAGGGATGGAATCACAAGATTTCTCTGGTGACAGGCGAGGGACTAGTAAATGTTGGGAATTGGACAGAATCGGATGCAAATGAGCAACAGGAAGTTTATGGTGAAGAATCGTAGGGGAGGCGATGGCCTCCTGGTATTATGGCTGGACTGTTAATCCAGAGACTCAAGTAACATCCCAGGGATCCAGGTTTGAATCCCAGCACGGTGGATGGTGGAATTTGAATTCAATAAAATATCTGGAATTAAGAATCTAATGATGACCATGAATCCATTGTTGGGAAAAACCCATCTAGTTCACTAATGTCCTTTAGGGGAAAGAAACTGCCATCTTTACCTGGTCTGGCCTACATGTGACTCCAGACCCCCAGCCATGTGGTTGACTCTGAACTGCCCTCTGGGCAATTAGGGATGGGCAATAAATGCTGGCCCGGGCAATGATGCCCTCATCCCGTGAATAAAGAGGAAAGAAATCGACAACCAATCTTGAAGGCAAGTGGGATATGAGCCTGTATCACAATGAGCTTGAATACAGAATGAGGGTGTCTTGCTGACATTATAATTGGTAAGGCCACAGCTGGAAAACTGTACAGCATAAATCTCCTTATCTCAGGAAACCCACTTACTTTGATGGTTTACTGAATAGATTTTTGGGAAGAGAGTGTTGCCCTACAGGGAGAGATTGAGGTCAATGGATCTATATCCTTTGAAGTCTGGAAGAATGGGAGTTCATCTTATTGAAATGTGCATAACTCTCAGAGTGTCTGACAGGGTAGATGCCAAGAGGAGTCTAGAACGAGACCTGGCAGTTTGATGGTTAAGGTTATCAGCCATTTACGACTGAGACGAAGAGAAATGTCTTTGCTCGGAGAGTTGTCAATCTTTGACATTCTCCAATGCAGTCAGCTGTGAGGGTATTCAGCAGAAAGATTGAAGTATTCCTGGGCACCAAGGGAATGTGGGCGTGATGTAGATATCCAGCCATGATCTTGAGGAATCTGCTAATTCCTACTCCTGCACCTATTTCTTACTGTGCTATGTTGATAATCTCAGACTCAAGCATCATTACACCCACTCTCATGTCTAGTCTGAAATTAAATATTTTATGAATGAATTCAGATTCACAATGAATTGCTTGAGTCCTGCACAGTAAAAATTTTAAGATGTAGGAGCAGCAATAGGCCATTCAGCCATTGAGTCTGCTCTGCCATTCAACGAGATCATGGCTGATCTGATCATTCTCAACTCCACCTTCCTGCCCTATCGTCGTAACTCTAGATTCCTTGATTGATTAAAAATATCTCAGCCTTGAATATACTTAATGTCCCAGCCTCGACAGCCCTCTATGATAAAGAATTCCACGGATTCACGCCCCTCGGAGAGAAGAAATTGCTCCTTATCTCTGCCTTCAGTGAGTGACCCCTTATTCTGAGTTGATGCCCCTCTGATACTACGCTCTCCACATCCACCCTGTCAAGTCCCCTAGGGTTCTTCAATATTTCAATAAGGTCACCTCTCATTCTTCCAAGTTCCAATGAGAAAAAGCCCAACCTCTCCCCTGTACCCAGGATTAACCCAGTGAACCCTCTCTGGGCTTCCTCCAGAGTCACTACAAATCAGGAGATTATTCTGTTGGACCAACTCAGTTGGCTGTGTTGGCAATGGATTGAGAAAGGGGCAGAGGGGTAGGTTACAGAGCGGATTTCAACAGTGAACAAACTCACATGTTCCGACAGCACTTGGGGCAATGGGAAAGGTTACTCACCCACAGTACTGAGCTCACAAAACAAGCCCCGCTGTGTTAACCAGGGTTCAGGTAGATTGGCTCGGAATTATCACCATAAGTATTAGCACAAGGATTAAAGATGGGATAAAGTTTCTCAGTGAAAGTGTCAGTGAAGGTGTACAGGTGAGATATGTCCTTGGCATTGCAAAATATCACCTGGCCTCCCTCGTAATCCGGGTAAATGCCTAACTTCTGGAGGGTGACATCTGGGATTTTCAATGACTCCTTAATAATCTGGTTGATGACCCAATATCCATTCTTGGCCGAAGAAACGATTGTCCCTTTCCTTTTGATGGACTCTCTGCAGACACCCACAATCCAGGTGGTCGGTTTCCAAGATCCACCTCCCAGTAATGTCCCCCTGATGTGAAACTCTGTGAGATCAAAACATAACAGTAACGGTCAAATCTTTCACGCAGATAAGGAAGGTCTTGTTGCACATTGGCATACCTCACACTCATCAGATCCTGGGAAAGGATGAGTTGATTGTGTGCAGTCATTGGGTCCAGGGTGAGATGCTCTCGAGCTGGAATAGAACATAAACGAGGAGCTGTTTGTATCAGAAAAAAATTAGAATTGAAGCACAAGCTGGGTAGCACGATGGCTCAGCGGTTAGCACTGCTGCCTCATGGCGCCAGGGAACTGGGTTCAATCCCACCCTCAGGTGACTGTGTGGAGTTTACATGTTCTCTCCGTGTCTGTGTGGGTTTCCTCCGGTGCTCCGGTTTCCTCCCACAGTCCAAAGATGTGCAGGTTGGATGGATTGGCCATACTAAACTGCCCCATAGCGTCCAGGGATGTGCAAGCTGGGTGGGGGAGGGGGGTAGTTAGCCATGGGGAATGCAGGGTGAAAGGGATGAGGTAGGTCCGGGTGGGATGTTCTTCAGAGGGTCAGTGTGGGTTTGATGGGCTGAATGGCCTGCCACTCTAGGGAGCTTCAGAGACACGACATCTGAAGAAATTCCCCCAGTCCACTGGTTTATTTTAAACAAAAGATTTCTATCCAGTCCAAGGTCTCAGTTATGACAAGTTGTAGGAACTGCATTCATAAAGTCATACAGCACAGAAACAGACCCTTCGGTCCAACCAGTCCATGCTGACCATCATCCCAAACTAAACTAGTCCCACCTGCCTGGTCCTGGCCCATATCCCTCCAAACCTTTCCCTATTCATATACTGATCCAAATGTCCTTCAAACGTTGTAATTATACCCACATTCCACAACTTCCTCAGGAAGTTCATTCCACACAGGGACAACCCTCTGTTTTTTAAAAAAATTGCCCCTCCTGTCTTTTTAAAATCTCTCTTCTCATTTTAAAAATGTGCCCTCCAGTCTTGAACTCGCCAGCCTTTGGGAAAAGACACCTGCCATTATGCCCCCTCATGAATTTATAAAGCTCCATAAGGTCACCCCTCAACCTCCCACGGCACAGTGAAGGAAGTCCCAGCCTATCCAGCCTCTCATTATAACTCAAACCCTCCATTCCTGGCGATAACCTGGTAAGTTGCCTGCACTAAGGACTGTCTGCTGCACTGAGACACTGTATATCCTGAGTTGGTGGTCTTTCTGTTGTCTGCCGGGACTGAAGGGGATAATGCCAATTCCACAGTCACACGGGAGTCCGGGAATGTGATTCCTTACACTTCACGTTAAATGAAAGATGGAAGCTTGAGCTCATCCCAAACTCTGCAGCCCATATCCCAACTCACACCGTGACCCCGGTCAGCTCTCACCCACCCTGCGCCCTTGAGCCCACACTGACTGGTCTGGTCCGTCAGTGCTGCAAACTTCCGATCCTCACTGGCCTGTTTCCCAGCTTCCTTGTTCTGAATCTCTGTCACCTCCTCCAGCCCCACACCTGGACGGTTATGTACCTTTAAGGGTGGTGATGGGAGATGATCGAAAGTAGCTGGATCGTAAGAACATAAGAAATAGGAGCAGGAGTAGGCCATTTGGCCCCTCGAGCCTGCTGTGCCACCCAATAAGATCATGTCTGATCTTCTCGTGGACTGAGCTCCACTCACCCACTCACTCACCATAACCATTTAATTCCTTTACTGTTCAAAAATCTACCTTTGCCTTAATAACTTGCAATGAAGAAGCCACTACTGCTTCAATGGGCAGGGAATTCCACAGATTCAGAATCCTTTAGGTGAAGAAGTTCCTCCTCAACTGAGTCCTAAATCTGCTCCCCCTTATTTGGAGGCTCTGCCCCCTAGTTCTAGTTTCACCTGCCAACAGAAACAGCCTCCCTGCTTCTATCTTATCTCTTTCCTTCATAATTTTATATGCTTCGATAAGATCACCCCCAAATTCCAATGAGTATAGTCCCAGCCTACTCCATCTCTCCTCGTAAGCCAAGCTTCTGAACTCTGGAATCAACCAGTGAACCTCCATTGCACCCCCTTCTGGTGCCAGTACATCCTTTCTTGAGTAAGGAGGCCAAAACTGTACATAGTAACTCCAGATGTCTCCTCTCCAGCATCCTGTACAGCTGAACCTCCCCACTTTCGAACTCCATCCCTGTAGTAATGCAGGACAATATTCTATTTGCCTTCTTAATTACCTGCTGTAGCTGCAAACCAACTTTTTGTATCATCATGAGACCAGGTCGGTATGGACGCGTTGGGCCGAATGGCCTGCTTCCACACTGTAGGGATTCTATGGTTGAGGTCTCATGCAACTGGAGCCTGGGCCTGTTGGATTCCAGGTAAGATGTCCTTGCTTACAATTCTCTGTACGTAGTTATTTTCAATAAAGACTGTCGTGGTTACAGATCTCACATTAACACATGTCGCAACTGTTACCAGGACCATGGGGAGACCCTCAAGTGTCCTTTTTTTCCCTCTGAGCCAACACCCTACAAGACCAAATGTAGAGTTTCTAGAGACACACCACATCTTTGCAAACCTTAAAGTGCAACATTGAAATGAGCTCACCCAGAACTGGCACAGACCAACAACTTCAAACATCTGAGCAAAGAGCCCAGCGTCTTGCAGTCGCACAGCACCATTTGGCAAAAGATTTACAAAAATCCTGTTCTGAGTCAGCCATTCTGTGTCACACCAATTGAGAGATACTGATGGAAGAATAAAGTCTCTTTCTAATGGAAGTGTCCAGGACATCAAGGTCACTGTGAGCCTGAGGGAAGTAGTTTATAAACAGCGAGCACGTTCTTTAAAATTAAAGACACAGAGAGAGAGAGAGAGAGAGGGGTCACAAATCTTTGAACTACCTTGCAGATATTATCTATTATCTATTGGTGAGGGAGATCACTTGCAAAATGGGGCTTCCCAAGCAAGTCTGCAGACCAAGTCATCCACAGGAAGGCCTGTGGATCCTGACCCAGCCATCTACATCTCTCTGAACCTCTCACTCCTCTTGTCATGTTGAGGACTCTGGGTATGTACTCAATGGAGTTTAAAAGGATGAGGGGTATTTGACTGAATACCGAGGGGCCTGGATAGAGTAGGCATGGGGAAGATGTTTCCACTGGTAGGGGAGACTAGGATCTGAGGGCACAGCCTCAAAGTGAAGGCTTGACCCTTTAGAACTGAGATGAGGAGGAATTTCTTCAGGCAGAGGGTGGTGACTCTGTGGGACAAAGTAGGCGAGTTATCCTACAACCAGTACAGGGCATTGGTGTGACCACGTCTAGTGTACTATGTACATTTTAGATCTCCTTACTTCAGGAACGATATCTTCACATTGGAAGCAGTACAGAGAGGGTTCACTGGTTGATTGCTGGGACAGTTTGGGGGGGCGGGGGTTGTTTCATGAGGAAATGTTGAATGTTTTGGAGCTACACTCTCTGGAAGTTGGAACAATGAGAGGCAAACTTACTAAAGAATATGAGGCTAGGTGTTGAGAAGGTGGAACTGGGAGACAGATTAAAAATAAGGGCTCTCCCTAAGCTGGAGATGAGGAGGAATTCCTTCTCAAATAGGGATAGCAGGTTGTGGGAACCCTCTATCACACAGTGTGATAGGGTTATTGAATGCTGGTAAGGATGAGTTTGATTTTTCATTGGAAAGGGATACACGTTAAAGTGAAATTAAAGCCACAATCAGAACAGCCAATAAACCTATGGAGAGGTAGCATAGGCTCAAGGGGCTGAATGGCCTCCTCCTGCTCTTATTTCTGATATGTCATAACCAGCGCATTGTTCCCATTAGGCACATGGGTAAAACAGGGAGAAGGTAATGTACAGGTAATTGACAGAGAATGGTACCTGGTGAAACCACTGTTCTCATTTCCTTCCATAAATTGATGTAACTGAAGGGATCACCAACTATATCCATATAGAAACTGAGGGGACACAGCTTCAGGCTTGTGAAACTTCATCTCACTCCTGCAAAAAATAGACCTGGATATCAGTCTGTGTTAGAGAGACAGCAATGATCAGATCACTAAACAGATTCTTTCAATCTGCCTACCTCTTCAAAAGATCTCGAACATCCTGAGAAGAAAGAAGACACAGAATAAAATTATTGAAATCAGACTGAAAACCTGCAGCTCTACAAGACACAAGTCAGGAGTGTGATGGAATACTCCCCACTTGCCCTGGATGGGTGCAGCCGCAACAACACTCAATAAGCTTGGCACCATCTACAAGATACACTGGAATAACTCATTAAAGCACCTTAGACAGTAGCTTCCAAACCTGCGACTTCTACCCTCAGGGAGATCATGGAGCAACAGATACATGAGAAAACTATCCCTTGTAAACCCCCTCCAAGCCACTCAAGATCCTAACTCAGAAATATATTGCCGTTCCTTCAGTGTCGTTGTGTCAAAATCCTGCCAACTTCCTTCCTAATGGCACTGTCGGCCTACTTACACTGTAAGGACTGCACTGGTTCAAGAAAGTAGCTCAACACTATCTGCTTGAGGGCAATTATGGATGGGTAATAATTACTGGCCCAGTCTGTGAGGACCACATCTATCCATAAAAATTCTGACACTTCACGAAAATGCCAGAATCAATCAGAAATGTTCTTTTACATTTTTTGTCCTCCACCCCATCTTTGAGCTCAGCTTGTCTGGGAGATTGCAAACCTTCTCTCTTGATCCTGTTTTGACTAAACTGTTAACTACCCACCTTTCCTCCCTGGACCCCATGTTACCCCATGGTATAAATCTTTTTCTCTCTTCAGGTGATGTCTGTCTCCCCTTTAGACCTGTCTCATTGCCTACTTCCTTGAAATGAACAACATTACAAGCTGCCATCCATCTCTACCTTCATTTCCTCTCCAAAGTTTTGACTGTATTGTGGCTTCCCAAATCCGTTCCCATTTTCCCCACAACTGCGCGTGTCAATCCTTTTATGAATCCTTCCAGATTGTGTTTTCAATGTTGTCAAAGCTTCGAAATAGCGCGAATCAAAGTGGCTAATGACATCTTATAATCCTTGAGTGGAACGGTAGCTCAGTGGTTAGCACAGCTGCCTCACAGAGCCAGGGACCTGGGTTCGATTCCAGCCTCGGGTGATTGTCTGTGTGGAGTTTGCACATTCTCCCTGTGTCTGTGTAGCCCAGTGGTTAGGTGGGTTGGCTGTACTGAATTGCCTGTAGTGTCTAGGGCTGTGCAAGTAGGTAGATTGGCTGTGGGAAATGCAGGGTTATAGGGGTAGGAGTGTGAGTCCGGGTAGGATGCTCTTTGGAGGGTTGGGCTGGGCCAACTGGCCTGCTCCCACATTGTAGGGAGCCTATGATCCTCTGTGATGTTGCCCATAGAACAGTACAGGCCCTTTGGCTCAAGATGTTGTGCTGAACTTTTACCCTAAACCTAAGGTCGATCTAACCTCCACTGCTACCTTATACTATCATCCATGTGCCTATCTAATAGCTGCTTAAGTGCCCCTAATGAGGCTGACTCCACTACCCTCTCCGGCAATGCATTCCAAGCCCCCATCCACCTCAAGCTGTCTGTGCCCACTCCATCCTCCTGGAATTCCATTCTTACTGATTGAAACGTGGTCTTGCATTTGTTCCTCCAAGGATCTATCCTTGGCCCTTCCTGACAGACTGTAACATCATCTGAAGTGTTATTTTTGCTTGTACACTGAAGACTCCCAAGCACCTCTTTCTCTCTCCCAACTCCTCCACTGTTTCCGAGCCTCCAGCTGCTCATTCAACACCCAGTTTGGGACGGTCAAAAATAACCGCCAATTAAACCCTGGGAAGACCGTAGCCGATGATTTTGCTCCTCTTCCGAAACTCCGTTCACTCTAGAACTGACTCTATCCCTCTCCCTCACCAAACAGTCTGAGATTATGACCGTCTCTTTGCAAACTCAGAGCTGTCCCCTTCACCCGAGGACCTGAGAGTCCGAATGATCACAAAGACCACCGATCCCTACCTCTGTAACAAAAATCCGACTCTCTCTCACATCTGCTGATGAAAACCTCCTCTGGTACTTTGAGATAACAAGGTGTAGAGCTGGATGAACACAGCAGGCCAAGCAGCATCAGAGGAGCAGGAAGGCTGACGTTTCGGGCCTAGACCCTTCTTCAGAAATGGGGCCTGCTGTGTTCAT